TTCTTTCTCTTTCTGCAGTATCCCTAAGAGGGATTCTTAGGGTGCTCTGATGTCTATATTGAATTTTACCAAAATGGCCTGCTCAGGACAAGTTTTTATTATCTTGAGGACTGTAATATACTTATCAGAATGTTTGTTATTATATTCAGACAGCCTTAATTTCAAAACCTGGCTCTACCACTTTACTGCCGTATGATACTAAGCTCATAACTTAGGCTTTCCAAGCCTCCATTTCTCCATCTGTAAAATGGAGATATTGATATTCACTTCAGCTGGGCTTTTGGAAGATATAAGTGACATAATATATGTAAAATACGTAGTACAGTGTTAGCTGTTTTTAGGAAAAGCCATTAACTTTCTCCAGGTATGCTTCCTTGAAAAGACCCAATTATGCCCCCTTTCCTAGGAATGTGCCACCCAATTTCCTCATCCTTTCAACATTGGGAAGATATGTGTGTATTGCTTGCCAGGGAAAGGATTTGCAGTGGTCTGGTGCCCCTCCCCTTCCCCAAAATTTCTCATCCAAATGGACAGGAACAGATCCATTAATGTTTCATTAATCAAAATTTGGATTTTTTTTTTTTTTGAAGAAGGAAGACTTTATTATTATTTGCAGCAAGTAGGGAGAACCCTGGAGATCTTTGCCAAAGCAGTGTTTCCAAAACTTGGATTTTAAAAATATTTATAATAATAATTTTTATTTGAGTACAGAGGGGAAATAAAGAGCCATCTTTTAATCCTGAAATTCTAGACTTACATATTTGTGATCAAACAGTATCTATAAATTTGTATTCTGCATTTTCTCTTAATGTTATGATTTTTTGTTATTATTATAATCTCTTGAATCATGTTTTTCCTCTTTATATTCCATAAGCAAAAAATTAGTCAAATGAAGAGAAAAATTAAATACCTACTAACTTAAACAACTCACTATTTCCATTCCAAAACTTGGATCCTAAACAGTGTTTGCTACTTATAGTGAAGCCTGGTTAATTGGGACTCTCAGTCAGAATTGTTAATTAATTGACTTTTTTTTTTTTTTTTCCTATTTACACTCCTCCCTAAAGGGAAAAAAAGCAAAAAGACAAGAAAAGTTAGAGTTTATTTTGGAGAGTCCCCCTTCAAGGGACTAGCCCATGGTTGAAAGATACTACGCCCCTGCATATTTCACCCATCCCCCAAGATTGAGCCTTGCCTGCCTCTCCTGCATGTCTGGGAGCCTGGCACAGGGTGCTCTATACATATTTGTTAGATGAATGAAGACACAGCCTAGCCTCTAGCTAGACTGAGCTATTGCTGTTCTCTAGTCATGCTCTGAATTTGCCTGCTTTTATTTAACTTGGAGTGCCTCTCCCAGTCATGGCCCTGTGGACTTTGGGTTGAAGTTGCTGGTGGCTTGTTTTACCCTTTTGTAAGCCAGTGGCCTCCTTGTAGGCATCAGCTCTGCTTTCTTCATTTTTGAAGAAAGACTGTATTTGGCACATCATGTATGAACAGTTATTGAGCACTTACAATGGTCTCAGGAAACGTGAGTTACATATATTTGCTTATCTAATGCCCATAACACCTTTATGAGATAGGTGCTATTATTCGCTCTATTTAATAGATGAGAATACTGAAGCCTTCAGTATTCTCATCTGAAGAAATTGAGTAACTTATATCACTAGAAAGTTTGTGGAACTCAATGGAATAAAGTGGGTCTCTTAAGACCTTTGAGGTCCACAGCCTTGCCTGCAGGACCTGCAGCCTCAAGGGATGACTCTGATGCTCTGGAAACGCTTCTCTGTTGGAGAGCAGTGCTGCCCACAGAACTGGACTTCGTGACTCAGGAACATGGGCGCATAATATTCCTCCTTCATTTCTAAAGAGTTTCTTATGGATCTCAAAATGGGCTAATACATATTATAATGTTTGAACTTCAAAACAACCTGGAGACTGAGGTCAGGCATTACCATCCCATTTTATGATTCATGAAGCCAAAGCCTGGAAAGAAGTGACTGTAAGAGGTGGAGCTGGGACTTGAACCCAGGTCTTCTGATTGTTAGCCACAGTTTGTCACTACATTCTCCCTTAATACCTTCACAGTAAAGCAAAACAAATTAAAAAAAATCTCCAAACAAACAAACAAGTGTTAAAGGTAGAAGCTGATTCTCAGGGTGGTATCTTCTGGTAGCATAGTGGGTTCTTTCCAGGAAGAGGCTGGGAAGAGCGCTGACTTGAGTACAAAGTCTTCTGGGGAACTCCTGTCTCCCAGGAAACTGAGTTAGCCAGAGCATCCTGTTCCTTTTTTTTCTATCCTGTTGTGTCTTGAGTGTTGCTAACAGAAAGGGGGCTCTGGTTCCCAGACTCTGGGCCCCATGTCCTCAAACCAAAGGGGGAAGGGAAGGAGTTTTTGTCTGGGCCCCTTCTTTGTGTCCTCCTGTTCATGCCTCGCAAATCTCCTGGATCTCAGGGTGCCAGCCCTGGGTGAGAAGCTCCTGCCCAATACCTCCCTTGTTGCCTCCTCCCCACCAGATGCTCCTTCTTGGGAGGATTTCTGAAGGTTTTCAGTGGGAGGCTCCTGATGGGCAAATAAGCAGCTGACTTCAGAGAGAAGGGACCCAGATTCACATCCTGCAATGCCCCAGAATGTGAGAGATGGGGAGGCGTGGGGGGCTGACTACTTCCTGCCTTGGTTTATCTTTGAGGACTTCTGGTTTGTTCACCAATTCACCTAGGGTACACATCACTGCACTTCGATTTTCCTCCTTTTCAATACCCAAGCTCATCTACTTTTGCCTTTCTGAGCTCTGAGGAAGAATTCCTTACAGCTCAGAATTTTACTTTCTCACCTCCTCCTGTTCTTTTCACTCCTCCAAATGTTAGGTTTTTCAGTCAACCAAAGATAAAGGTGGGAAGACCAGGTATGGCTCTGGGCCACAGGGATGTAGGCACTGGTTTGCCTGACTCACCTGCTGAGCTCAGCCGAGGCTGGTCCACAGAGCCTCCCTGTCCTATACTTTGTCAGTTTTCTCTCTGCTGTTTCTTGGGTGTTGCCAACACATTGGGAGACTCTGGTCCAAAGACTTCTTGGGCTAGAAAGAGTGTATAGATAGGGAGAATCCTGTTACTTTCCAAGCCTCCAGGCCAAGAATGAATTCCCATTGTCCAAAGAAAATTGTTTACTTGCTTTTATTTAAAAATCTTTAGGAATGGGCACTTTAAAAATAACTATCTAGTCTTAAATATTCCCATAGTTAGGGAGGTGTTTTGAATGTCATACTTAAAATCTATGCTTTAACTAAAGGCTTTTTTTCTGTTGACATAGAGAGAGAGAAGACCAGCTTCTTACATTTTGACAGCTGCTTCCATTTTTAAAAGATCTGACTTTTAAATTTGTCTTGCCTTGTACAAGCATCCCTGAGCCTCAGGACGGGTGAGCTTTAATAGTGGCTTCAGTTATATCATTAGGCTGTTGGGGAGCAAGTGGGGAGCCCTCTTTGTCCAGTGAAAGATGGAAAAGATTATTTATAACTCAGTCATTGAGAGTAAAGTGTTAACATTTAGGGAATCTGGATGAAAGGCATATGGGAATTCTTTGGATCTGAAATTCTTACAACATAAAAAGTTAAAAATGATTTTTGCAAGAAATTATTTAAACCTTAAGTTCTTCATTTGTTTGGTTTTTAAGAAGTTGATGAGTGTGATTAGCATGCTCTGATTTTCCTTTTCATTGTGCAGCTGCGGCAGAGTTGATGTTTCAGCAGCCTCCCAGGCATGGAGGGACTCAGAATCTCACTCCAGGAGCCAACCAGCCCAAGTAGGGGGTGGGGAGCTTCTGGAATTATCCAAGAAGCTCTCAGGGCAGAGCGAGGCCACCACAGAAGGAAGGGGAGAAGCCTGGAGGGCAAGGAGCACAGATGCTTCTGGGGCGATGGTGCAGGGTTGTGAGAACCGAGGAAGGAGCAAGGTCTGGGGCAAATGACAAAGGACGCTGTGACTTCCAGAGTCTGCTACACCAGGAATTGTCAGCCCTTGGGCTGGTTCACCTTGAAGGAGCTTGCAAAACACGTTCTCAATTCCTCTCTCATCAGAGCATGGGAGGGAGTGAGACGTGGTTTTTACCTCCATTGTACAGATGGGGATAATGAGACCCAGGGAGGTGATGCCATTGGCTCAAAGACACAACTCATAAATGACAAAGCCGGGACTTGAATCTAGGTCCTTCTTTCTGAAGTGCATGCTCTTTCACTGGCAAATGCCTCTGTAATAGCAGGATGGTGGCCTGGGCGAATGTCAGGGTAGGAATTGTCCTTGGCATTTCCCTTGTGTGGTCCTCGGGCCTGTGAGTTTTATCTTGTTCTAGTTGTCCCCGAGCTCCCCTCCATCTTATAGCCTCTATAGGCTAAGCCACTGTGGACTGTTCCCAGTGGTGGTGGTGCCAGCTGTGTTGGTGCCACACCTGGACAAAAGCTTAGTTGAGCCTTCTTGTGAACCAGATTCTCACTATAGCAGGCTTGACTTGGGCAAGATGGGATGAACCCTTCTGCCAGCCTTCTAATGTTGACTTCCTACCAGAACCCCCAGAGACTTTGAGCCACACAGCAGTTCTGACCCACTTTTGTTTGGCTGAGCTGCAGGGGGCACCGTCTGCAACTCTGCCAGCCTGTGCCTTGAGGGGAAATGAGCTCAATTAAGTAGGCAGGCCCCTGTGAGGCTTCTCTGCAACACCATTATTAATCTCATGGAGCATGGAAAAAATATAACCTCGCATCTCTCTGCCCCATTTTCCTCTGTGATGATGTTTAGGACAGAGGGTCACACAGGGGGATGCCTTTGCTGCTGAATTAAGAGGCTGGTTTCCCTCCAACCAGGATGTCTGCCTTTCTCTCTGCCTCCTGCCTCCCCCAGAGCTCCCAGGACTCTGCTCTGAATCCCACAGATTGTCATGGCCTTGGTTCATGGAAGGGCAGGAGTGTGTTATAACTTTGTTTTCTGAACTTCTGCTTTTTTTGGAACAGAGCAGCACTTTCCAGAGGTGATGCTGGGGGAAGAATTTCTTAGCCTAAGTCTGGACCAGGTGTGCAGCTTGATATCCAGTGACAAGCTGACTGTTTCTTCAGAAGAGAAGGTATGACATGGCCCTTCTTTGAAACAGGAGCCTCTCTCGTGAGGTGGTCATGGGAAGGACTTGTGGTTCAATGAGACCTTTTCTCTTTTTCAAATAAAAAAAAAGATCTTATTTTTTTGTCTTTTTTTTTTTTTTTTTTTAAAAAAAGGCTTTCTGGCCCACGACCACTACATTCACTTTATGGACCCTTTAAAGAAGGAGTAATGGTGATGATGATGATGGCAACAAAGCTGCCTCCCCTTTTTTTTTTTTGGCTCCCTTTCTTATACGTTTATAGTTTGCCAAGCCCTGTGCTAAGTGCTTGATGTTCTTCGGTTCCCTCAGCCTTCACCTCAGCCCTGTGAAGCAGGCATCGCTGTTGTCCTCACATTACAGATGAGGAAACAGACTCAGAGGATTTAATTAGCTTGTTCAAGGTCACTCAGCTGGTTTGCACGTCACCTGGTCTTAACCACAGTCCCACACAGCCTCTCGTGAGTATCACTGAGCATTTAAGCCAGAGCAGACCTTTGGGGAACATCTACTCTGATAGGGAATTGGAATTTTTACTGATGAGGAAACCGAGCCCCAGGGAGGGGATAGAAACTGCTGAAGGTCACACACGGTTTTTCGGTGGCCAAGCCAGGACTAGGACCCAGGTCTCCTGACCCCAGTCCCCTGACTCACTGACCACACACCTCTTCCTCTGAGCTAGAAGCTTGACTTCTGCCCCTGCTGTAGCTGACCTGTGACTGCTGATCTATCCTACCTCCCAGCCTTCCTTATATCTCTGACCCTATGCTAGGAATATTCTCTACTTCCCTCTTCACCTGGTTGAATTCCCATACAGTTCAGATTTTTCTTCTACCAGGAAGAATTTCTTTACTCCAGGAGGTTCAGTCTACTATACTGGAAATAACATACGCTTCCATGTTGGCCACTGGGGTCCAAATCTCATCTCTAGTATTTACAAATCAGTTATGTGACCTTGGGCAAGATATTTTGCTTCTCCATCTACTTCCTCATTTTGTAAAGTGTGGGTAGTAATAGAACATGTTCCACAGGGTGGTTGTGGGGATTGAATGGGATAAGGTATATAAAATGCCTAGTGTACTACCTGCTGCCTAGTGGGTGCCTAGTCAGTGTTAGCTGAATTGATAATTGACTGTGCATCTGGAATTAATCCCTTTTTCCTCTGGGATAACACTTAACCTTGTTCTGCTTTATATTGTAGTTAGTTCTGAGCTGGTCTTACCTCCTCCACTCACTTGTGAGTTCCCTGATGGTAGGAACCACACCTTATTACTCACCTCTGCAGCCTCAGAGATACTCAGTAAATGTTTCTTGAATTGTCCTAGTCCAATCTCAGCATCCAAGCTTGAGGCCCTTTCCTGAGGGAATATTCAAAGAAAAGCCCTTGAGAAGGATTTTATGTTGGAGATGAGACTGCATCCAAAGGTACATGTCCAGAGAATGGGTGTGAAATTCACAAGCCCCTGCCTGTTGTCCTGCAAAAGTCTGATCAAGAAGAAAAGCAGTTGTCAGTTGGAACTATGGGCTATCCTGAGACTTCAGGGGGATCCCCAGAAGGTGACTGGCACAAGCTGGACTCTCCCGTAGGCTTAGGGAGATCTCTGCTTCCATTAGCTGATGTGAAACAGCACCTCCAGGGGAAAGAATGCTTCTGGCCAGGCCACAGGCCCCTTCCTGCCCCAGCCTCACTTCTTGCTAAGCTTGTGTACTTTCTTCTCTGGACTGTGCTACCAAATTGGCACAATTTGACGGAATGAACCAGTCATTTGGCTCTGCGAATGTTGGGCTGTGGGCCAGTTTAGGGTCTGCTTGATCATGTCCTCAAGTGTAGTCTGAGAAAATGGAAGCAGGCACATAAGTAGCAGGACTTGAATCAACTTAGGGTGTTGGATTGAGAGGGAGACCCTTCTATCTTAAATTCATCCTGGCCCGTCCTTCTCTGAGATCGTAGTAAGTTTTAGGTGAGGGCCTATCTATGCGTGCTATGCCAGGACAGGGGGAGAGGTGGGTTGTTAGTAGGGAGGGGCCTTATAGTGCCCTGGAAACCACTTGGGTTTTGGACTTGGGCAGAACTGGTTCCACGCTCAGCTTGATGCTTACTGACTGTATGACTTTGAGAAGTCACTGGTTTCTTCGAACCATAATTTACTTACATGTAAAACTGAAATACTAAGAGTGCCTCCCTTATAGAGTTGTCACGAGGATTAGAGATAATGGGTGAAAAAAAAATCAGATACGGTGTTTGATAGGTGCTCAGTAAATGGCAGCTATTATTGTAATTATCACAGTTCTCTATTTGGAGGTACCAGTGATAATGGTAATGGTATTGATTTGCCATTGGTGATGGTGAAACAAAGCATGGTGTTAATTGCATCTTTCCAGAAACAAAGAAACATGACAATAGATGTACACTCTTAAAACTTGTCTATAGTGACTTTCATTTATTCATATGCTTACATATGGGTTCCTCTTTCTGTGGAATCAGTTTGGAGTGTAGGTATTTTCCACATTATTGATGTTGTGAATCATATTTGGTTCTCAGAAGTTACGTGTAACTTCAGAGTTATGTGATACTTTTCAGAAAGTATATTACTAATGATCTTGAACCCTTTGGTATGTTTAAGGTTAGCTATGTAGTTTTGAGTCTTATTAATGAATAGTGGGGTTTGGCCTGCATTTTCTCTTTGGCAAAACCCATATATTTTTTTTTCCCCTTAATTGCTCACATATTGCTGGAAGTTAAATAGCTGGAAGCTTTTGACAAATAGATGTTTGTCATTTGAACGCTAGCCCTTAAGGCTTTGAAAATTCTGTGATCTGTTCCAAGAGGTTTGGTGATTTCTACTCCCTTTAATTACATTGCGTATGATAGGCATAATCGCTTGCATGCATAATAGCTTTTTCTTGCGATATAGTGAAAATTTTTGAGTGTATTTGAAGTAGTATCAGGGATCTTCATTTAAGTTAAAATCCAGCTGATTTAATGTTAACATTTGCAGAAAATTCAATTGCGTCGGCAAATGACCTGTGTTCAGCGAAATTTACACTTGAACCACAGTATCAGTTATATTATGACTTACTTCTCTACCAGCAGCCAACAGGTTTCTTTCAATATATATTATAAAATGCAGCCAGGTTTCAGATGCATCTTAAAACTATGCATCTTAAAATAGAGGAAATGTGGTATCTTACTATTAATGATGATTTTAAGTGTCTGTGGCTGGGCCCAGGAAGCTTGCTTGTTGGAAGTTTGAAAGTATAGGTTCTGCAGCCAGAATAACTGAATTCAATCCTGGCTCCACTACTTTAACAAGCTGAGTGATCTTGGGCCAGTTATTTATCTCCTACCAGAATGTATACACCACGTATAGCCAGGAATTTTGACTATCTTATGGTTGCTTCTAGAGTGGTGTCAGGTCCATGGTAGATACCAAAAAATATTTGTTGAAGGAATGAATAAAAGAACCTAAGTCTCAGTTTTCTCATCTGTGAAGGCGGGTAATGATAGTGTAGTATCTATCTTATAGAGCTCTTCTGAGGATGAAATGAGGTGATACATGTATCCATTGACTGGGGCCTTTCTCAAGGGGAAGCTCTTCCCGGGCCCCATATTGGTCTGGGTGGTTGGCGTGACCTGCGGCCCTGTGCCAGGCAGGAGCTGAGGGTGGTAGCTGTCTCTGGGTCGCCAGCACCCCCAGCACCATCTGGGCCTCTCTGAGGGCTCAGGTGCTGTTCTTCCTCCAAGAGCACTTGCTGTTGCCCACGACTCATCCCCTTCACTACACTCAAGCTCCTTGAGGGCTGTGAGGGTACCTTAGCCATCTCTGTGTCACGCACAGTCCTGACACAGAGCCCTGGGAGGCACTAGGAGGTGCTCAGCAGACGTTCCCCGAGGGAGTGAAGAGGCAGACTGGGGCTGGACTCTGCCCTGAGCCAGCTGATATTATGGGGATAATTTTAATATTTTTCCAGAGAATAAGGAGAAATGTGGGAACTAGAGGTCGGAGGGAGGCATGGATCTTTGCCATTTTCTCTCCTGTTTTTCCTCCGTGTGTTTTTTGTTTAAAAATTCCTGTTATTTGAGAGAGGACAAGTGAATGTGGTAGGAATCACAAAATCACTAGTTCTTTGGTTAGGACTTTCCTCCCCTCTCCCCTGCTTACCCCTGCCCAGTGAGAGGGAAAACACAGAGAAGCAAGCCCCTCCCAGGCACCTGATTCTTTCCTATGGGAGGTGTCGCAGGGTTAGAACTAACGCTGTGAGCAGAAAGCCTGTTTTTTGCATACCCTTTGAGACACAAAGTTCAGCTGTCACCATGGGCAGCCTCATTGACCCAGGGGCAGGATAAGCAACCTTCCAGGACAAACACACTGCAAGGAGAAGAGATATGACTCCTGTGTTCTACTGCAGTCTTGCCACTGAGTTGCTGGTTATTGGACTTTTCGGAATCTTTGCTTTTCTAGCTGGTAAATATCTTCCTACTTCTCAAGAATTCCATGCCTTCTTATGAAACACTATTGAGGCTTCTCAGAGTAAGAACTAACGGGGAAATGGCCACATGTTAGATACAGGTCAGGAAGAAATTGGTTGAGTTTCTTCAAAAAATTAAATTAGTGCCAAGTATGTGTTATAATGAGAAGAACAGGTTAGTTTCTCTCTGCATGATCACATTTTTATGTACTTTTATCTCCTAAAACTCTCATCAGGGGACAAATTCTGATATTTTATCTCCTGGAAGGGATTGGACCTTGTCTCCTGGGATCATTAGTGTTGCAGACTCTCCTGTCTGAATTCCTAGCCTCTCCCGCCAGCACCGGTGGTCGGTCTGGGGTGTGGGCAGGAACTCCTCAGCCAGTAGGCTGGGCTTTAGTGCTGCTGCTGAGGCATCATCCAGCGCCCAAAGAAGTACATCCTGTGCTTAGGCCGAGCTGTTGGCAGCCCTGCCACACTCTGAGGTCAGCATTCGAGTTGCCAAATCCTCAGCCTGC